CGCTCCAATTTCGATTGCTGGCAAATAGTTATGCATTTGCAAGCATGCACGGCTATTTACCAGCAGTTGCAATTGGAGCGCATGTACTACGGGCAGGTTCGGACAACTCGTCCAACACACGTCTCCCTAAACGGCAGGGGGAGTCCCAGTATAAGCCCCTGCCCGACGTTTTTTCTACTTTTTTCTCCATTGACCAATTTCTCACCTGCAACGTCATTATAGGTGGCCCTTACCCGCGAATTCGTTCCTGGATTGTTGCTTTAAAAGTCGCGATTCGAGACAATGGCCAAAAAAGGCCATCGAGGCAAAAGAAAAACGGAGCAACGGCACAATTTTTCAAGCGAATGGTCATTCAGGACAATCTTGATATTTTTTGAAAGCGCTAATCTTCTACTTTCTAGTTAGCCTTGAAAGTATGTAAAAAGTTGATAATGAAGAGACTTATGAATGCTTGAATGTTGAGTTAAACACGCGCAACAAATTCAACACTTTTCAGGAAGAAAAATTTGGTAGAAATGGAGATTTGGATTTGGAAAGGGTCAAACGAGTAGATGCTGTTCAAAAAAGTGATGCTTGCTGATTGAAATAGCCCTAACCAAGGAAGGTCGGTCCGGCCACCTGAAGCAAGCGGAAATGCGCAGTGGTACAAGTTCGAGCTCAAGAGCAGGAGGTGAATGAATCGACCCCTTACCATCTTTACTCTTTTGCTTTTTTCGACAACATAGCCAAAACTTGGGATCATTTCTGCGTTAACACTAGCCTACAGATGCCTGTGCGTAAAGAGCGCTATAGAGCTTCTCCGTTGAGGAGAACATGCAAAACATTTTAGCGAAAAACCTCAGTAACTGTTATTGTATGTTCAGTACATCATTTCGCAGATAGAGAAAGAAGTTTTAAATTCATCACCTCAGCCGAGTTCAACGACCCTAGGTACCCCCTACTGCAGATGGCTGGACCGACCTGACGACCTTTCCCTTGCGAGAATTTTCTTCCATCCTAGACAGTGATACTATGTGATTTTCACAGAACGTGAATATCGCAACCCCTTCGAGAGACAGTACAGTATTATGACCCCTGAAGCCAGAGCATGCCGGAGGTTGATCCAATATGAGTAAAGACAGAAGAGGAAAACCCAAGGAAACATTCGAAATAGGAGCTCGATAAAAGACATAAAATCAAAATTACAGTAAGATGAAAAGCGCCACAACTGCCACCGCCTATTTCAATCTCATGGAATGATCAAGCTCCCAGCCAAGCTTCAAGCAATGTTCCGAATGGCTGGATCTACTAGCTCCACATGGGTGGCACACCTCTAACGGATGCCCACAAAAGCTATAAGCTATGTGAGTGAGTGTGTAACAGTGGATTGATACTTAATTATATCAGCTGGTTACGATCGAATAACTTATCAGGACGACGACGTCTTTTCATGAAAGAATCACGTAAAGAAAATAGCACTGTCAGACGGTCACAATACATACTTCTCCTCACTGGTAAGACATTGATCGGGTAAAAGAGCTTAGATAAAAGCGTTGGGTTGAAGAATAATACGTCAGCGTTTTTTTTCGAGCGTATAAATTCAAGCAGTACAAGTAAACCCCCAAAAATCTCATATGCTTTGTGAAAGGCTTTTTCGCTCTACAAAGACTAATTTGCTATTTTCCTCAAAATTCCTTTGTACTCATATACAAGGCTTAAAAGTTGGAAAATTCAGATGGCAGAGATCGGCATTTCGACAGCTGCTATTTTTCGGTTCACTTAGAGAAAAAATACCTTCGAAGCCAAAGTTCTTTAGAATCAGTTGTTCTTGTCGAACCTCTCTCTAACCGACCCCAAATATTTCATTCAGATAGACCGTATTCATGTCGTACAAATTGGAAAATGATGAAGTCTTCGAAAGCAAGCCCATCATCTTTTTTTCCATTCCAGTTCCGGTGACTTTCTGCGAATAAAATAAAAGTCATGAATAATAGAAACGTGAACATGGTTAGTTTTGTTTTTCTTATCTTCTTCAAACGTTTGCGTGCAAAAATGAAAAATGCAAGCGCTGCGACATTATGCTCCAACCCAATACAAATTTCAGGCGATGAATTCGTGACTCTTTCGAACGCAGTTTTTTTTTTCAGAAATAGCTGGAGATCATATACTTCTCCTATTTTCGGAGAAATTCGAGAGAGAGAAAGTGGTGAGAAATGAAAAACAAATCACTAAAACCCTTTGCTGTGTACACTAGAACGCTCAATATCGATATACGTACGAATAAACCTTGAAAAACCTGCCTCCCTTCCATCAAAAAGCTTCGAATACGGCTCACAGTTCTGTAAAAGAGGGACAGGGGTAGACCAGTGAATAAAGCCAACCAAAGAGGGGGCACACTAGTCGTGTACAACCTACTGAACACAGGTGCCCCAAAAAAAAAACGTAGAAGAAGGCGAGCTGTTGCAGCAGTTTTTAGGATCGCCTCGATAGGGTCTGCATAAAGACCTACTGAGGCAATCCACACAGACATTTTGTGAAAAACCCATCAGAGCTCCAATCTCAGACAAAAAAGTAAAGTAAAGTTCCGAAAAGTATTCTCAACGGGCACAACGCCTATAGTTCATATAACTCTAAAGGCGGTTGTAGATAACAATTTATGCAAATTTGACAACAACTTTCACAAAACAACTGTGATGAATGGATCAATGAACAAAATGAATGTAATGCATGTATTAATGAGCAACAAAAACTTGATAGATTGAGCGAAGTGGTCTCATAATTCACATTCTATCACAATTTGCAATCCTACTCAAAACTGAAACTTTAGCCGGAGCACTGTCTAAAAATAAATTCCATCTACGAAATAATTCATTTGACAGAACAGACGATCACGATCCTCGAACTGTAAACCAAGGTGACCTACGGTGGTTCTCTTTCGAACAAATGCTTTTGACAACAAGAACACAATTCATTCTACTGTAGCATCCCCTAGTTACACATCTTATTATATTATACATAAAGGTCGTGGAGTGAAAACTGCTTTACCGGTATTTAAACAATTTCCGCATGAAACTCATGAAAGCTTTTAGGTTGGTGTCACAGTCCATCGCAGGTTTCGCTGATTTTCGCGATTTGCGCGAGTTGCACGATTTGCGCGATTCACGCGACGGATCGCAAAATTGCAAGTGTCTGAACATTTGAAACACTGTGGAATTATGAGCAGTCGTCACTCAGCCATCACTATCAAGCAGGAGTGGCGACAGGATTGGAGAACACCTTGCAGTATTGATCGGGCACTTGGGATTTCTAACCCGTCACGTGAATCGCGCAAATCGCAAATCGCAAATCACGTTGGTCGCGGACTTTGACACCACTTTTAGATGAAGAACAAGACCAAACCAAGAATTCAACGATTTCACTGGAGTGGGGGGGGGGGAAGAGGGGCAGCATTTGAAAAAAAAACCGTTGCAGAATTCCAAAAACAGGGCATTCTGGAGGAAGACCTTAGTCGTCTCGAAGTAACCGCACCCTATTGCTTTTGATGTTCACTAGATTCAATTTGTTGAAGGTGAGTGGTATGAAAAATCGTTGCCCATTGGAGCTGAAAGTAGAGGCGGTAGAGGGTGCACCGGACCAGAAAAATCTGGAAAAAAAACTAATTGAGACCCGAGAAATGGGACCCCCTTTCTCCCGCTGATACGCTTTGGACAAACCAGAGATCGAGAGTCGGCTCATTTACACGTATTGACGCGAATTGCCGGTATCATACCAATAATTATCATCCTTCCACAGATAGCGCACAGCCTAGAAAAATTAAATGGTACTACCTCTCAACATGATGCCCCTTCAAAATGGAGAGCAAGGAAGAGCAGGCGGCGCTGGCCAACATTGGGGTCAGCCACGTGTATGTCTCTATTTACTTCCTTAGAGACTTCACGCTCTTCTGCGAAATGAATGCCTCCCAATCTTCCAAACCATTCGTTGTAGTATCCTGCATTACGTACAATTGGTAACAAATACCCGTTTTAGAAACTTCAGTCAAAATGTCAGCCACCATCCACACATATTCTCACAAAACAACAACAACCAAACCTATCTACAAAATAAAGCATCTGCGAACAGTTCACTTATTAAGATACACCTTCAGCCGGAATTCGGGTATCATGAAAATAAGCACCCCGAGACTAGCTAATCGCTTCCGGCACCTTTTAATTCAGTTTGAACACAACAGATCCTATCGATATCGGAAAAGGAACAGTTAAACATTCCGAAACACCATGGATCTCGAACATAAGAGCAAATTGAACAGAAGTGAAAATGAGGTAAAGCCGCATGGAAAAAGGGACAAAATAACCTACAGGATCACTTCAAGAAGAAGGTAGCCACCAACAGATGATCCATAGTTTTCTCAAGTGAAGCACGCAGAAGGGTAGATTCTTTCATTTTCACCAGCCCATCTCTCGTGATTCCAAGTACCTCGCCACTAAATAAATAAGTCCAAAATACTGCGCGTACTATTACGTGAAAATGAGGAAAATAAAAAACAAGATACGGGCCATTTTTGGGGCACTGCATTTGAGCGCGTAAAAGACCCTCCCTTATCAAGAAGGGGATTCAGCCTTGGGTAGGGGTGGAGATTCCAGAGTGCGTCAGCAGTTTTCATTATTCCCAAAGTTCTTGTCCCCTCCAGGGCTTGAAGGATGCCCTATCTTGCGACAGCGCCGAAAAAAGTTTACAGATATGTCATAACATCACCCAACAACACTTATCCATTTTTAATGCCTTAAAGTGGTTCCTTTCACTTATATCGTGTTGTATATCGGTAGTACTTTGTGTATTTTATCTGTATTATTAGGATAAAGTTTAATTACCTCTCTAAACCTTCAGTGACTGTACAGCCACGGCCGTCGCGTGAGATAGCATTATCCTACATAAACAAAGGGTAGTCAAATACTTCTTTTATATAAATGACGGTAGAGAGAAACTTGACCTACTAACTTCTTTATTAACTTCTCTTATAGTCTTCAACTCCGCTTTTAGCTCCTTTATCTCGCCAGCTGCTTCGTCGAGTCGTTGCTCCAGGTACCGTGACTACAAACTGCGAGATAGAAATGTCCTTAGGAAAACATACAGGTAAACGTTTGGATATTCAATTTGTTTCCCAATACAGGACTTTTTGTGGTACAGAAATGGCTCAGTAAGTCGAAAAATGCAATCGCTAAATTTGCAAAACTGCTTCGCCACTGCTCAGCCAATAGTTAAGGTCACTTATCGTCACGATAAGCTCCCATACACATGGAGTGGGCGACAACTGGGGGCTGGAATGCCCTACTGTCCTACTCTCATTCGAATACAACTTGTTAGTCTTCGCAGAACGGTAGTCAAAGTGGTTTTTGTAAATTCACACGAACAACAAGATTCCGTGTGTTTCTCATCTTTTTTTTTGTAGTGACACACAAGAAAAGTCCACGAGGTCGTCATGGCCTTTCGGAATGAGAAATATATCTCTGTATGCAAAACGGAGTTCTCTTTCCCGCAAAGCTGTACGTACATATAGGGCAACCGTATCAGTGTACGTACATATAGGGCACCAGGCGTAACTGTCAGGTTGTTTCAAATCCTCTTTTTTTAGGTGGTGACGAAAGCAGCATCGCTGTCGGGCTGCGAAAAAATGCGAAATCTACAAAAGAGTGGGGAGATTTGCCATGCAGTCAAACCGCGCGTGGTTTGAGACTGGACAGAAAATGAGTAGGGCACATTTGAGACTGGACGGAAAATGAATGGAACAGAAAGGAATGTCAAGCCCAATACGCTGCAGCTAGCGCACAGTTTACCACCAAAACGCTACATTTCGCTTCCTTCGGCCCCTGACTACTGCTTCCACTGGTGCATTTTCTTCCATGCTGCACACACACTTTATCGTAATCTCTCGCTTTAAAGGATTCCTCCGCGGAAACTCCGCCTCCATCCTCACAAAAGAAACCACACCTAAGTCCCTATTCTCATGAGGATAGCAAAAAGAACGGAACATGAGCGTTGTTGGCGACAATAATTATTGTAATTAGTTGGACTATGAAAAATTGGAATTTTCGCCATTGAACTTCCACAACTGTTGGCAAAGTGGATTCTACACGTGCAAACGTGTCGAAAGCGTGAATGTGAATAGGATTCATGTCGGACCTTCCCATAAACTTACACGTGGATCTGCACCTTCCATGCGCTTTGTCACAAGAGCACTTCCGGTTCCGCTCTGCGGTCCGCTCCGGTACTACCGGTGAGCCTTTCCAGCTGCTATATCTTTTGAGCATTTTATTGCTTTCGCTCCGAACCTGCGCATGGTCTTCAATGACCATGCCATATGTATATACAACATAGGAAAAACCACGCTTTCCGTGTAGGATTCCTTTAACGACTGTGATATTCGTGTTTAGGTGGTCAAACTACTTCTGCAGTCAGCATGCTCTGGGCAAACCTCGATGGACTCGGGTATTCATTGGTGTGATCCTCATCAGCCAGCAATCCTAGTGCTGCCGATAATGGCCGTCCAACTTTTGATGGAATCGCAGTAATCGAAATTTCAACAACAGCAGGGCACCGAAGGCAAGTGGTCAAAGAGAAGTAAACATCGTATTTATGGGGAATGCGAATGCATCGAAAAGAAGGCTACGAACGAAGACGCTCATATCCAGGTTGAGCAGTGTATTCAGTAAGCACTTGCTTGTGACTGATTTTGCAAATCTGTCCAGAACCTGAGGTGAGGTACTTTTGATACCATCCGAAGACCACATTGATAGTATGGGTGATTGACCAACTTTTAACATTAAAGTGCCCACTCTTTTTACTTTCAGTTAAGTCGAGATTTCAGATTTGGCTAAAAACTTGCTATTAGCGATAGTTTTGCCCCGATCACAAATACCACGATCGTTCTAGAAATAAGCTTTCGGAACGTGGGCCAGAAGTGTTGGAAGGGACCAGTCGCTGAACTTGTTAGCAGCTGCCCGCAAACTCATAGTTGAGATAATTTTAGGCAAGCATCAATGAAAAGACTCTGTGTAGTCTTTGTAACTTCACTGCCGGCAAAAGCAAAGCAAAGACATGACGAGGAATCGGTCCCGCGTCATCTTATCTGTGAGCTTCGACCACTAAAGTACTGAAGCTCTGCTATTTTGCCTTATAACTCTGCTCAGAAGAGGATCGCTCATCAGATTTAGAAGATTTAGATCAGCGTGTGAAGGCGCATCTAACCGTGGGCATCGCTTCCTTAATGGCCATGGCGATCAGAGATTTTTTCCCGTCTGTGAAATTGAGTTTCTGCAAATCTGAGAATGTTAGTAAACGCAGCTTTTTGAATCACTTGACTCTTTCGGACCTGAGTCTTTTCCGTGGTAAAATTTTTCACCTAGCTGTTGTTTATTACTTGCGACTCATGAATATCATTATAGCAAAGTTTGGAAGCTATTCGATCCCAAACTAACAAACTAGGAAGCTTGGAAAATGGGTCCACCTCCTTAGTTTTTGAGCTTATGTCGAAACAGTTTCAAATTCCGTAGTTATCTCGAATAAGTTTATAATCTTGCACAACCTTGTAACCCACAGCTTTGATAAAAAAAATGGATCTACTTCAAGTATTTTAGGAAAAAGTGACCCTTACTTAGCAGGTTGCGAGGAACAGCGCAGACTCGCTGTTGCACTTGTACGCAGACACTTTTAATTCTAAGAGCAACACGCAATGAAATGAAGGGTTTACCGTATAATGAAGAAGGGGAAGGTTGACTAGAGCAAGTTCAAGCAGGATTAGAAAAAATATGCTGTTAGAGCGACAATGCAGACATTTGATTTTGATGGAGGCAATTGTCACGCCAGGGCCGAAAGGGTTAAAATATGCCTTGAAGCTTCGAGGGAGCGTCCCCCAATTCGTCATGCAGTCGAATTTATACCGAGAGCTAGTTGTTTGTGTATGATGCTTGTATAACTAACTGTTATACTTGTGTCGCCTGCGGAGGAGGCTGTTTTGGGGAAGTTGTCCTTATGATGTTGCCTTATGCTCGGGTTACTCATTGAAAATCTTTTCCTCGCCACAGAGATGAAGCCAATCGGGTCTTAACGGCAGAGACTGGAGATAAGTTCAAATAAATCCACCTACAACTCAAAAATGTACGTCTGCCAATAGCAGTCGAGACCATGCACAACACCAAATCTTTAAGGCTTATTGTTAGGTGAGAAACGCTGCCAACAGTACTCTGCTAGCTGTTTTTATCTGGGTTGCCATAAGCTCCTTTCCTTACTCAGTAGTCATTTCAGAAAGAAATACAATGTCTAAAAACAACGAAGATTGAGCTGTAACTTTTTCCGGTCAAAACCCAGGCCCGTTGTAATTAAGGGACCTAGTTTTTGGTTGCTCTTCGTCAAAAAGTCATTGAAAGTGATAATGAATGTACGATGACAAACAGCATGTGGAGAAAATGAAGTACTCACAAAAATGATAATCTGCATACATTTTGGTGACACCCCATTATTTTGAAGATTATAACAGTATACAAGCGATTTTCATGAAATTACCTCCTTTTCCGCCTCTCTATAGCGATTTGATACATGCTGTATGAATTCGTAGTAAAATCTAAGCCGTCCATGGGCCGTTTCGGTATCCTTAACCTTAATATTTTTAGTATACGGCTGGAACACAACATGACAGTAGCCGATTTTAAGGAAAATAAACTACGTTGGTGACGTCGGTGTCGGCCGGTCCACTTCGTAGTAGGTTCCCAATTTCCTCCTGAAAGTAGCACAATTGCAAAAACATGGAGGGTCAGAGATTTAAGGAAGGAAGGAAGAAACTGTTAGTGCAATCTGAAAGCTCACCTGCGCTCTATCAAGTTTATCACAGAGCGTCTCGATTTCTTTCCCCATTTCCTCGATCTTGGAGTATTGATGTTGAATTATATCATTTACTGGCCGAAAGATATAGTTGCCTATGTCATCAACTTGTTGTCCCAACGTAGGGCTGGCTATGGTCAGAGGGAGCCTCACTAGATGAGTACCGGAGGGGGTCACATGGTTCACGCATTACCCATCCCGTGAGTTGAAATTTGAGGAGGGTGCTGTGCAGACGAGGATGGGAATAGGATGTGTGAAACTTCAAATGGTACGTTTAAAGCACACTGCATCGAATGCTCCGAAGCTTTCAATTTGGGGAACTCTAGATTCGAAGTGAGGAGGGTTACGGACGACATTCTCCTTTTGTCGGCAGCCTTCTGAAGACCCCGCGGAAGAAGATTTCCAAACAAGTGTACGACGGGCAGTAGCATAACCCTGAGCAAGCATACCGAAATTTTCGGAGCGCCTGAAGCCACCTTCCGGGTATCTTGTCACAACTCTTTTCACTCAACAAAAATATCTCACTTCTGAACATTTCGTAATCCTCGACGGAAATAGGGCTCTTTGCTATAGAATAGAACAATTTTCAAAAATCTTAACAGCTACGAACATCAAAAACTTTTTCCAAAGAAGAAATTTAGAAGGTGAGGTCCATACTGATGGTTTCGTGGCCTTCCGGAGTAATTATGTATCGCAGCTTTCTGAACCTAAGTGATTTTGATAGAGTACTAATGTCTGTCCATAACGTCGACGTAAAGCACCGTAAAGAGCAAGACCTCTGACCAGGAGAAGGAGAAAAATCGTTTTCCATCTTGACCCCCAGCCATATGTCGCACAGAGGACTTCGTGAGAAAGGGACGAATCAACCTATCCAGCTTGCTTTTCCCAATGCACTTGCAGGATCTTAACCTCACCGACCTCCAGTTTTGCAGCCATCCCGACAGCTTCTTATGGAGAAAAAGATTCGAAGACAGAGACATGGTGGAAAGACCTCCCCCGATATTCGCGCTTCTACGGTTCCCATATCTTGGCTAGGTCAATAAATTCAGCACGCTTTCTACTAAGGAAAATGCGTAGTTTCCAACACTTTTTTGAATTACTGAAAATGTTGAGCTTGAGCTGAGAGATATTGCTTTAAAGACGGAGGTCAAAAATCCGCGTTAATTTCCGGACAACCTAATACACCCCGGTGCATAATAGATTGCACCCTATAAAAAACTTAGTTTTTGAGAGAGGCCGAAACTTTTATTGATTCTGCTGTTGATATGTTTCCTGCGGAAGTAGATAAATAATGTTGACAAAATATACGGTTAGGTACAGTATCTTTGAAAATTTTTAAAGTGAAATATTGATTTTTTGGCGGTGCACAATAGATTGGACGACTTGAGAAATTCAATTTTTCCGACGTTTTTTTCCTGCTCTTTAAGTTCGCATGTACTCACGTATTATTTGAAGTATGCGCAATTTACAAACGAAGACTGGATTTGAACTGAAGCGTTACATCTCCTTGGCAAGGGTTATCTCTAAATCTCTAAGGAACCCTACATTCCTAGGAGTACAGTTGCAACTGTAATCAAGAATCATTCTTAAATTGTTCTTAAGAACAAGGTGGTACGGAAGTCAACTGTTGATGAGCGTGGCAGGAGCTGTTTCATTAATTTGGCGTGAGTTCCACAAGGGTTGCCTATGAATTGGCTGTCGCTTGCGGGATTGTCGTTTCGAAATGGACCGTGTCTCGTATGGTGAAAATATCGGACCACTTAGTTCGACAATAAATAAAGCCGACACTACGCCTGACTCAATATCATCGACACAAGCGGCTCCCTCTTGCGAGGGATGAGGGTTACAGAGGTTGGGCAGCGGAGTGCTCTGGACATATTTCCAGCTTTATGTTAAATTTAAATTTTTTGTTTCTATTTTTACTGCGGTAATTTCTTTCGATGTTATTTTGTTCGGCGGAGGTGAGTAGTGTTAATGGCACTCGAACTGGCGCTCTTGCAGAAGTGAACCATTACTGGTGCCTCGGACCAGGGTCTACCGTCCGTTCGAACTGTTCGAACGAAGGGGTCGCTTTTTGGTCTTAAGGGGGTCGCAATTTCGAGGAATGCCAGCCATAGGCGCGGGCACGGCGTATACGAGGGCAAGTCTTGCTTGTGCAGGCCGCATTAGATTCATTATGCACAGAGAGGCAGTTTAGGGCAAATTACAGTGGTTTCTTAGTTGGGTATCAGATTGTACCCCCCCCCTCCTCCACCTCCAACGCGCCTCCCTTGAAATCGGACCCAAGGAGGACAGGCTTTCTAAAGTCACTGCCACTGCACACCACTGAGGATTGAATGACGCATCTCACAGCGGAATTTCTCACTAGAATACGTCATGTTCCAGTGGGCAGAACCGAAGAGTTCCTCCTGAGAAACTTCCATGTTAGAACAAGTCAAGGGCGAGGAAGCTGCAGCGAATTTGGCTGATTGACCTCTGTAGTACGAATAGAAACCTACGGCAAGAGAAGGGTTTTCTTTTCAAGATAATCTAGCATTTGCTATATTGCACTGACCTTTTTGGTTTCAGTACTCTTTACCATTCTCAGTGTACCAACCTTGAAGAACCTTATGGCTATTTATGGGTGAAAGTTTAAAAAAAATCGTCCATGTGCTTGTTTACCAACCAAACAGCAAGAATGAGATTATACTAAAACCCATTTGGGAAGGGGGGTGTCGTAAATGGGTCAAAATGCGAGTGCGACGGTCGCCTCTGGGCTTCACGGTGCGTGAAGATCACGATAAGGCTCTCTGTGTTTTGCCGGAAGACATCGACGACTGCTACAAGGAACTCGACGAAATCAAGAGAGAGCTTCAAAGCCTTCCAGAATACTATGGACCACATACCCTACCCGACTTTTCGTAATCGTCAGGGGGGAATGTCACGGACGTGACCACAGTTAGAGCATAGAGCATTGTGAAATTGTTTGTTTGTTTATATAGTTGTTTTGAGCTAAATGTTGTGCTATAAGTTTGTTGAGTTATAAAAGTGTTAACTCAGGTTAACCCACGTATAGGATGATTATCATATCATGCTGGCGATAAGCTGAGAAGGAAGGAAAATCAAGTGAACCACCGAAGCAAGAAGAAGCGATAAGATATAAGAAGCGATAAGATAGTCATCAATATTTAAGAGGTCCTGAGTAGGAATAAACACTTATTCCGTGCATTGCAATCGCCTGGACACCCTCAAAAGGCAAAAATCATGTAGATGAGTATCTCTAGAGTAGGACTGCTCCGTATTATGCAGTTCTCACGTGCTTCAGAGGATTATCACTTGAACCAACAGCTTCAGCAGGATTTCTACCTTCGCCACTAATGGCATGGAACGATGTGCTAGCCTTAGTCAAGATCATAAAAGTGTTACTGAACAAAATTCATCTTGCAAATCCGCTAGAGAGGGAGCCTTCGAAATGGGCGTGGTTGCTCTGTCGGCTGTCCCTCAGAAGACTTCCAACCACGCCCACTGCCCACAGAATCAGTACAGACTGTAGCAGAAAACCAAAAGGCGCTCGATGTGGACAGTAACTGACTCGCGTACCTTTCACTATGACTCTGAAGTATTCTCATTATTTGGATGGCGACGCCTCGCTGAACCTTGCTGACGATGAGTCAACGGGTGCCCGAATAATTATCATTGACATACCCACGATAGTGATCTGAACGAGGTACCGCTTAAGAGCCTGAAAAGTCGATTAAACAACAGCCATTTACCTGTGCCTATTTGAAGGGGTTAAGACTGTTAAGGAACGAACACTCTGCACAACATTTGACACAGTGACCTCAAAAGAATGACTTTGAGAACGAAATGAATGAAGCGTCAACAAGGAAAATTTTCGTGAGAAAACATGTACCTCCGAGTGAAGAATATGATTTCGCCCCGAAGTCGGTTTCAGCGGCAGGAATGTGCTTTCAGGCATGTTGCTTCTTCACTATAACCACAAATTTCGTCTAAAATTAAGCTGAACATAACGGTGAAAGACTCGGAAGGGAATAGAAACCTGAATAAAAAACCAACCCAGCGTCGTGACATCAACGAGCATTTTCAACTGTCGTGTCAGCCCCTCTTCTAAACTATCTAATTTCGCTGTAATGATTAGAATAAAAATCCCGAAGAATTCGTTATAGATGCATCAAACGGATTTAGGTGTGACTCACTGCTTTACAGCGTTGATTATCTCCTTGATTCGTGGTACTCCTTGTGTTATGTTCGTATGCACCACGCCAGGAAGGTGGAACGTCTTCAAAGTCGACTGCAGGAAAGACTCGCCTGAAAAGGAAAGTCACCACCAAACCTCTGCTGATAACTCTATCGATCTGATAAACTCACCTACATTGGTGGTTGCAATAGCACCTACGGCTGTTCCCGGCTCTACGATAGCCATTCTCAACTTGAGAGAACAAGCCTCAAGAAAAGCCACATTGTGAACGTGATACGCAATGAGCATGCATCTGAGTGTTCCTGACAAAAATTGCCACGGATAGAGCACTAGGTTTCAAGATAATGTGGAAAACAATAGATGTATATAGTTTGCTGACTGGGAATTGTGCGCACATACACAGGTGATTTAAAGGGATTCTAAAAGCACACTAATAATACTTGAATAATGGTCTACCTGATGTGTTGAATAAAAGGGTATGATACTGCAAAAAGCGAAGCTCCTAGAGGAAATGAAAGGTCACTAAAGCAAAACCGTCTGCACAATTTTCAGAAGATGCACTGATACTTTGCAGTTGTCTCAAATGCTTTACAAGTGGAGTGCGTAATAGTCACGCATCCATCTTGCGGTCGCAGTTCGATATGTCATTTATAGCTAATTTATTTATTTACGTGCATTTCTACATAACCATACAAACAACAAACAAACATGGTTGCGAGGGACATGTGATGTGCTGCTGGCAACGTGTTAACAAGAGCTACGGACAGTCGTACCGGAACTCACTACCAAAAAATGAGAACATTGCCTGGATGACGGCTCTTGCCTAACGGCACAGCGCTACCTGAAAGCGTGAGGGCTGGCAAGCGTGGCATGGGTATTGTAGAAGCCATATTTTCCACAAAAAATTCGGTAATCGAAATGGTAACGGTGAAGAAGCGAAAAGAGGCCTGATTTGATTCGTTCTGATAGGAAAAGAAACAACTGTTGTGTGCCTAGGGTCAATGGACTACTTGGACTCGATCCTTTGAGCCACCTCAATTTAGTGCTCTCTTCTGCGTTCCCCCGAATTTAAGCGGTTAATGACCACTGTGATCTTACACCTTCAATCTCTTCACACTGTGATCGGTTCAGCCACCCTAGAGTCCCCCCTCCAAAACCTAGTCCTAGCCCCCACCTTCGTCGCCGGTTAGGCGTTAATTTTTGGTCGTCTGTGCTCTCCGCCATTCAGGACAGGATCAAGGAAGAAAGTTCAGGTAGTCCGTAATTCTGGGTCTAGGAATGTATGCGGCCTTGGTCTGGGATTGCCCTGAGACGGACGGTTTGCTTTCCGTGCTATGGTACACCGTAAATACAGACGGAGCAACGTAGACGTACATCAGAGAATCAATAGCACCGTAAGGCATATTTGATGTTAGCTTTCTCACAAGAATCTACAGTACGCGTGACGAAGGGATCGGGGGAGATAAGGGTACGTATGGTCGTTGCTATTGGTTTACTTCCCGCCTATGTTGATGATTTTGCAATTCACACTCACCCGGACAGTGTAGGCAAAGGCTAAATGTAATAAAGTTTGGCGAAGCTTGCCTTCTGGCACCCCAAATGTTATTTGGGTGATCAAGCAAAGTCGAGCACAACTGGCAGCCTACTACAAAGACAATCTATGTGGTGTAATTGTTAATACAATAACAATAACGCCACTGTAATTATGGCGGGAAACAAGTATTTACCAAAATAGCTTCACCTGGCTTCAGCTTGACGCGATACTCGCTTAACCCGACCTACGCGGGCACGTCGGAAAATTTGACCAAACTGCACGGTAGCAGGGATTTCCATGCAACTAAAACTCAAAAATTCAAAACGCTTCTTCTTCGTTGAATAAGTCATCTTGCTTTACCTCTCTGTGGTACCCGTTTACACGATCCTATGGCACAACTTTGGCAACATCTTTGTATCGCTTCTTTCCTCAGAAGATTAATTGGTCGGAGGTGGCTGACTTCGTCTGCATGTCCATAATGGTACATTGCAGCCTAGCAAATCCATTTCGGAAAAAAACGTAGCTCGTAGGCGTTGCACGATTCCAACTGCACTAACGTCTCAACCTTGATTAGGTTCATCCTGGCTATTAGCAAGAGATCTGTAAATAACATGGTATGAAATCCGATACAACGGAACGATTCAAGTATTAACGAGTGAACAGAAGTATTTCAAAGGATACTGTAGCGGTGCGAAGTTCAGAACCTCTTGATCAATTATCTCCAGTCATCTCTGACGTAACTGGCCTATGACTGAGCCTCCGACCTCAAAGGCACGGGTCGCGACCGAAATGGTGTGTAATTGTGCTGGTGTATTGGACAAGAAGTGCGAAGAGGAACGTTAATGAGGAGAAAGACAAAAAGAACAATATGGAAACACTGAAATTTTCTTGTGAAGTCGACCATGGCACAGCGGTGAGACACAACACTGCGAGAAGGAAAACGCGAGAAAGAAGGTTGTGTGTAGGGGCGGAGACGCCTCGTATGTTGCAATTCAAAAGATTGCCAGCAGTCGCACGGTCAAGCGTAGGCGTAAGTTCCTTTGTCCCACACTTTTAGGTCTGATACCACCACCGCTCCATCAAGCGGTGGCTCTGCTTCCTCACTTGAGGGAAAATATTTTTAAGGATCAAACTGCAGTCTATGCCTTTAAATACAAGCATGAGCCACTGTGTCACTGCCTGGGACTGGGCGTAGGCATTGGCGTATGCATGGTATTGAAGCTTAACCTTATTGTTAACTCTGATGGATCGGAAAAACTGAACGTCCACCCAAAAATGAATACTTGCGCATGCAGCGCCTGGTTCGAAAAATATTCTTATCCACCCAATTGTACGCCTGCGCAGATACGACAAGATTTGTGGACATATTTTTTCTTGAACATCCAAAAAGTAATAAATTCAACAATTGTGGAAGGAGCAGTTCATTCTGCAGTGTCACGATTGGAGCATCATTTTCTAATTAACCGGTTGTTTCTGCTGCACCCAACCTCAACATCGAGCCAACCCTGCCTTGGCTTCAATCAGGGTGAAAATCGCATCGAGGAAATGATCGCGTCCGTTCTGTTCCCCACTTTGAATGCGTCCCCAATTATGCTTGCGAGTCAAATACATGGCACACTCAGAAAGGGTTGGTCAGTGCTTATTTTATATACTGGACATTGAGTCATGCACAACCACACCACAACTGTGATTCGAAGTCGGATTCGAGTTCGAGTCCAGGCAGCGGCGGATAACTGACCATAACTTAACCCTCTTTAGATAAATGTTGCATCGCGAAATGTGTTCGAAAACAACAATAAACGAAGCAGAAAAACCAGAAGTCAGTGTTGAGCCTCACTAAATACTAATCTGTGAGACTTTATTGTGAGAAGATTGAGAACCCAGAAGCAGAAGAGAAGATGGACCATGACTAGAAAAGAATAGAAACTCGGGACAAACAGACATCAACTTCCTCCATTGACAATACCCAAAAAAAGAATAGACTCTGGAAGTTCTCAACTCGTACTTTCTTTATTGTTCTATGCTTCTGGCGCAAGGGCTTGAATGGAGTCAGTCGCCGCCGCGACGTGCAGCTTGTTCGCGTCCTCTCTGTGAAATAATGTGAAGACACTCATCCCAGTCTTTCAAGTGTGTCCAGTGACTCGTCTCACCCCTTTCACCCCTGCCCCCCTCGCCACCACGGCTGTTCCTATAGTCCAGATGGTTCTGCAACGAGTTGACATGCTTCAGCTCCGCCTACTTTGTCCTCCAGAACGACCGTCAAGAACTAGGAGGGGCTATATCTAATAAAATACAAGTGCTCTGATTTTGTTCACTTCATGCATATTTTTCCCAGTTTCCACCGAAATTATTAGAAAAACCGCTAAACGACCACCCAACCCCATCACTCATTCCATCTTACTTCCAAAATCACGCCCCGCGTTCTCTACCTTTAAACCCGTTCAACACAAGTGTGATGAGTGCACAAAATTCCATTTATACAGTAGGCGTGAAATGCATGTAGGTGGGGACTGCTGCCCGCTACTATAACGTGACAAGACGTTATGAAGTAAAGCACACATCCCACCTTTTCACGCATGTCAAGTGATTGCCCTCACCCCCACCCCATACATGTTTTGAGTCTCAGTATTCGAAAATACGGCGTGCCCATCTCACTAGTATTGTACCTCAAACAGTATACTTCTCTCAGCGCCAAAACAACATGAAATAAAATAAGTACATATCCACGAAATATCAAAAGAGTGACTCAAATGGGTGCTTTAGAAAGCCTCAATAATCAGACTGGCCACGCTGTCAAAAAGGGCTACAGATGATGAGGTCATCGTTTTAGGAGAATACGCGACACCTGAGTACACCCTTCTGTAGATGGCCGGACCAATTTGCTGACTTCTCCCTTGTTAGAATTTCCTCCCATCATAGGCAGTAATACTAGGTGATGCCCAGAATATGGAAAACATGGTTTTCACAGAACGTGAATCTCCGCACATTCGGAGAACAACAGAGTATCTTAACCCCCAAAGCCAGAGTATGCCAGAAGTAATCCAACACGAGTAAAGACAGAAGAAATGACTTAGTTTAAAAAACATTCGGAATAGGAGCTCGATAAACTTAGGATGTGCCATAAGTAGCGTCGTTTTCATTTGAACAAACTTTTCCTCTGAAGTTCCGTGTTTTTATACGAACCTCTATGATTTCCAAAAAAAAACTGTCTGCTCTACAAGAAGTCATGTCTTCGATATTCGCTGCAGGGTTTTCAAATTTAGAGCCTATAAAACGGGAGGTACAGGCGAAGAAAATTAGCCACACCGACAACTAGCCCAGACTCTATATTTCCTTTGGAAGGCTTCAGCCAATGATGAACCCTCAAACTAGTCACGACTTCTTAATATTCCGCTATTAGACTTCCCGTCATGTCGCGTAGCTCCTTCTCCAGATTTCGCTTTGCCGCCACAACTCGAAGGTTAAGCAGCCTCTCTTGAAATCTAATCCGAATTACAGGCGATACGCTGAAAAAAAAACAGTGGAGGGTTATGAGCAAGTCGTGACTGATTGTAAGTTACAAATGTATGCCTGGTTGATTTCCTCATCTTTTCCAGGATATCAAAGCAATTTGGTCATTTTCGTGGATTAGTCACCTTATCCTTAAGCCTGATTCGACCTAACTCCCACGAATATGAAAACATAGCAAATGAGCGAATAGGGCGGAAAAGTGCTCTCGATTGATATATCACATGATGTAAAACAGTGCTGTTTCAGAGAAAGAATTCCAGTTAAAAACTGCCATGTCTCATGAGTCGGCCAGAAAAACCAAATTTTGAAAGAAATACGGCAAAGCTTTTTCTACAACCTAATAGCGGAATGTTCGGAAGAGGTCGCGACTAAGCTGAGGGTTCACTATTTGCTGAATCCTTCTATAGGAGAATAGAGTCAGGGCTAGTTGTCGGTTTGGCTAATGGTCTTCGGCTGAACCTCCCATTTCGCAGGCCAGCAATTTTAAAACCCTGCAACTAACGTGGAAGCGAAACATGGCTTCTTTAAGAGCAGATGATTGTTTTCGAAGCCTGTATAAGTTAGTATAAAAGCGCAGGATTCGAGAAGAAAATTATCCGTTAGTATAAAAATGACACTATTTATGGGACAACCTAACAGTTACAAAAATCAAACACAGCGAAATTGAAAAGCATCATACCTCCCACCACCTAACATAATGGAAAGACAAATGCTCCTAGCCAGCTGACAACCACGCTCCGACATCGATGAGCTGCTAGCTCCAAATGGTTGGCACACCTGTAGCAGGTGCCCTCAAAAGCTAAAAGTCATGAGGAAGTTTTTTTCAGAGTAGAGAAGAGTTACTGAGTATGTGGGTTTCACGATTACGGTGGATCGCCGTAATTTCAGTTGCGCACGGTCGGATGATTGAGCAGGACGTCGCCTTGGATGAGAGTACAAATTTCGGATGAAGAGTTCAGGACCCAGAAAACCGCAGTTTTCTTTTCAGAAATGGCTCAAGGTCATATACCGCTTCCATCTTCAGAAAAACTTGATACAGAGAAAGTGAGGAGAAATGAAAAACACTACTAAAGCCCAGCGCTGTTATACTAGAACGCTGAGAAGAAGTAAATGTTTGGATCAACCTTGATAAACCTACCTCCCCTTCAACAAACTCGGATAGGCCGCCATTTCTGTAAATGAGAGGCAGGGGAAGACCGGTGAGTAACGCCAACCAGATAGAGACCACAATGATCGAAGGTCCCCAAAAGAACAAAGATAGCGTAGAAGAAGGCAAACAGCTGCAGCACAATTAGGATCGTCCTCGATAGGCTCCGGATAGAGACCTACTGTGGCAACCCACCTAGAACGTTTTTGAAAAACGATCAGAACTTCAATTTTCAGAAAATCACGAAAAGTATTCTCAACGAACCCACGCCTATGCTTCGTAACGCCAAAGACTGTCTCGAACAAAAATTTATGCCATTCAACAATAATTTCAAACAAACAGAACATTTACAACAAAAGCGGTAAAGAGATTGAGCGAAATGGTCTCAAATATTCACTTCACCATTTTTAAAACATCCTATTCAAAATCCGAACGTTTAGCTGAAACTACTGTCTGAATATGACTCTAGCTACGAACAGTTCATTCGACGGAACAGATGATCACAATCCCGACCGGCGAACCGAGGTTGGTTAACAGTGGTTCGCCTTCCAATAATTCCTTAACATGTTAACAGCAAGAACACAGTTCCTTCAACTATAACACTCTGAGCTCACATTTCCAACAACCATCCAGGAGGTGAAGAAGAGGCCTCAAAAAAGTGCAGGCGGAGTCCACAAAAAAAGGCTGTGGGGCACATCTAGTCGTAAGTTAAGCGCTGCCAACTGCTATTCAATGATTGCCAGACTCAAGTTTTAGTATGTGGATGGTACGAAAAATTGCTGCACTGCAGCTGAAAGTGGACGCAGTATAGGGTCACTGGACCAGGGAAATCTGAGAGAATACGATATGAAACCCAAGGAGTGGGACTCCTTTCCCCGTTGATTTCCGCTTTGACAGGCCAGAGATCTAGACTCATCTTTTTTTACTCGATCGGCTCGTTCTGATCCGAGTAGCCGGTATCAAGCCAAAAATATATTTTCACAGAGCACAGCCAAGAAAAGTTGAAAGGTACTGCCGCTCAACGTTAAATGCTCCTTCAATATGAACAGCAAGGAACGGTGGAGCAGGCAGGCCGGACCTTAGCAGGGAGCGCTGGCCAGCGAACGACTCCAGAAAAGAAAAACAGTTCCTGTTGAAAAACTAAAACAATGCGGACAAACGAAAGAATTAAATTCACGTTCGCATCGCAATCTTCAAAAGAAAACTCCAACAAGAAAAGGTCATAATTCAACTGGGCACAACAAAACTAACTTAAGCAACGAAAAGGGCATTGTTGAAGTTTGTGAAAGGGCCATCGATTCCTGGCTGAGAAAGTACACCACGGAAATCGCCGCCTTCCACAATGATACTATACTCATCGCCACGCTTCTCGTCCGCATGAATCACGCAGCGTTTCACGTTCGGCAAACCTTAACCTTTTGACATTGAACGGTAACCAAGCAACGATAATTAAAATTGTGAAAATATTTAGAGTAATAATTAGAAAAACTTGAAAATTATAGGTACACATCAGGGCCGAAAGCAAAAGACGCTCAAGTTAATACCGAGTGAGCTACAACTAGTCATACCTTTCACCATGGCTGTTTGTAAAACCTGCTTCATGATTTGGACTGCAAGGCTGGTGTCAGAACCCGCGATCCGTCGCAGGTTCCGCTGATTTTCGCAATTTGAGCAATTCAAAGATTCACGCGATGGGTCACGAAAATCACAAGTACCCGATCAATCCTACAAGGGTTACCGATCCTGCCGATACTTTTGCTTGATAGTGATGGCTGAATGATGACTGTAATGATTTCACTTGTTTCATATTCTGTTTCAAATGTTCACAAATGGGGCACTTGCAACTTTTGCGATCCGTCGCAGTTTTCGCGCAAATCGCTAAAATCGCGCAAATCGCGAAATTTAGCGAAACCTGCGACGGGTCGCGGACTCTGACACCAGCCCAAGTAATTTGCCGATTTTTGAGTCAGCTGGTGGTTGGATGCCATCACTGACTTACCCGCAATAGCGATCTAAACAAGGTACTGCTTAAAGGAATCTTGCGCGGAAAAATCATGATTCTATTTCAGCCATAAATCACTGGCTTGAGACTCATTATCCACGATAATAGTGAAGAAAAAAACTGAAGCACTGCTTTCGTTTTGATTAGAAATTCGAAAACGCGAAAGGCTGCTACGCGTTCGAACTGCCCACGGACGTCTTTCACGAATGCTGGCGACGGGGATGCTCAAACTTGGTTTTTGGAGTGCATTCACTAGAAGCTCTTTCTGGCCTTCTGCTTCGTTGCATTCACATCTTACACATCTACTCCATCCTACTCCATCGATCGATTTGTCTCCACTCTCCGAAATCGCGCGCTTCAACCCGATTCTCTCATTGCGTCGCCTGGTACGTAGCCGGCCAAATGCCGTCTTCTTTCCATGCATCGCCTGGCTCTGCCTCCTGGTCCTTCGATGGCTCCATAACGTTTAGTTTTTGTACGTTTGTTTCTCTCAGAAAACGAATCTTTATGCGTGAAACTTGAGTGCTATTTCCAGTGATCACAACTGACATATCCATATTAGAAAAGAGTGCGATTTTTTCCGCGCAAGATTCCTTTAAGAACCCAGAAAGTCTGTAGAACAGCAATTATTTACCTGAGCTAATTTGAAGATGATAAAATTTCTCGTTGAAAGAATTAGAAATAAAGGAATAAAAGAAAAAATAAAAATGAAAAAAAAACAAGAATCTGCACAATAACCCATATCGTGGGTTATTGTACAGATTCTTGTTCATCCTTAGGAGAAAGAATTACCGTAAGAGGAAATCTAACATGATCCGTCAACAAATAAAAGTCTAGTTCGCGAAAAATTACGCATCTCCGAATGAGGAATAAGAATCCACTTCAAAATCAGTTTCAGCAGCATGAATAAGTGTTGTCTAGAATCTTGAATTCTTCATATAATCACAGATTTCGCCTAAACATTGACGAACGTAACGATGAAAAAATCGAGAGGGAATGAAAACTTGAATAAAGAACCAACCTAGCGTCGTGACATCAATTCCTGCTTTCACCTATCGTGCTAGCCTCACGACCATCCATCAATTTCGCAGTAATGATTGGAGTTGAAATCTGAAAGAATTCGTTACAGGAAACAAAGAACAGATTCAAGTGTGAACAACTTGCAGCTTTTATAGCTTTAACTATCTCATGGATTAGCGGTACTGCTTGTGTAATGTTCACTAGCACTAGCAAAGTTCTAGCAAGCTACACTAGCAAAGTTTGAGTCATTCGAATGGAAGGTTCACCTGAGATGGAAGGTTCGCCTGAGAAGGAAGGTCATTCTCCAAACTCTACCGATCACTCTATTTGACCTGATAAACTCATCAATGCTATTGGCTACGATAGCACTACGGTTGATGTTAGCTCTACGACAACATCCCTCAACTTGAGAGAGTATGCCTCGAGAAAAGCCACAAATTGTGAATGGGATACGAGCATGCACCTGAGCGCTCCTGATGAAAAGTAGACAAATGACGAAAAGCGGATAGACAATTAGCTTCAAAATAACGTATTGGGTTGTCCCATGATCCCTGTCCGACTTTGTTTTGGTTTGAATCCAAATTTCTTCGAGCGATATTAGCTTCATGGCGAAATATGCTGGGACGGCAAAATGCATCTAGACAGCCACCCAGGAGGTTTTGGAAGGTCAAACCCGCATTGGGATAACCAACTAGGAGGCGACTTCGATCGGCGACAATAACCAACGATTGTGCTTTACGATCCACAAGTGGAGGCCTTTGCATAGATACATACCAAAACATAAAACATATCAAAAATTGAACCGATTTGATTGAGCAGTAGGAAAGTTATGGCCGACAGTTGGTCGAAAACCTTAGCCATTTCCCCACCCCCGCTGAGACCGCCGTCACACTCGGCAACGGACAAGCGATGGAGCGACACGATCGCTCCATCGCTTGTCCATCGCCGAGTATGACGGCGGTCTGAGCTCTATGGGGGTAAATTATAACATTTGAATTATTTTAACTTTTCGAACTTTGAAAATTTGTTATACTCCGCAAACATTGGTTTTTCAGGCTTCGTGATGACAAAGATTGCGCTTTTATGACAAAGTGTTCTAACAGAAGGAAGTTTGTTGAGGGCATGTTCCGTTCAAGAAAATTTGAGCGAGCGAGTGAAAAAAAACAGTACTCATATAAACATTATTCAAGACCCTGGGTATCATTTCATTCACTGGACCATTAATTGAAAATATTCCCGTAATTAGTCGACAAACTAAGGTGTTGAAGATGTAATAGTCGTCAACCAGCTTGAATACTGACGACATCCGTTGTGCTTGTAATCGAGACCTTTTTGGGTTTTTTTTTCAGAATTTTCATTACTTCTTCAATAATCACAATACTGTAATTGATATACTGCGGTGACGTATACTAAGCTCGAAAGAATGAAATGTACCAAATCGAACAAACGATCCTGATCCCGTGAATCTGACGCGCGTGTGGGCCATGTCGTCGTCAATGTGTTTAGTATTAGTGGCATTATGAGGAAATAAGCGTTATTGGCTTTGAGAGAGTAGTAAGAGATAGCAAGACGCGGCTGCGCGAGAACACTGATGAGTCCGGATCTCAGGATGCTTCAAACAAGTGGAAGTATAGAGAAAACTTCCGCGACACGAAACCTCTTTTAAGCTGTTCTACATCGAGGACACGGGTGTGGTTTACCAGGACAAAAAGCGAATTTTCTTGTTTGGCGAGCGCTGCGGGAACCTGAGGTCCACTTCTAATTACAAAGGACCCGAGGTTCCCGCAGCGAAGTAAAAAAGAGAAAAAAGGAGTAGCTAGTTTTGGGGGGGGGGGGAACGCGCGGCGCGGCGCTCCTTCAAAGCTTAGTCCCAAAGGCAGTTCTATTTCGCAATCACATGGCACTTTTGAAATAGGTGCCACTGGGAACTAAGCCTTGGAGGAGCAGACGAACAGAGGCCGTATACAATCCTTCACCCAGGGGTGTCTCTCCCTCCTCTGAACCAATCCACCCCCTCTTCAGAGGGAAACGAAAAAGGGTTGGGCTATAGGACTATCATACCTCTGTGCTTCTTTTACCAGACAGACCAGCGCGATTACCCTCCATTTTAATGCGCTCTTTCCCCTGAGGGGTCGCGCCGCTCTGGCTGGGAGAAACACAGAGGTATGGCGGTCCTATGACGCAACCCCTTTTTGTCTCCCCCAAAGCTGAGGAAGGATTGAATCAGAGGAGAGCCCCCTGGGGGAAGGATTGACGGCCCCAGAGCGTCGCGCCACCGCGTGGTTCCCCTCACTTAAAATAGCACCAAAAAGGACTACCAACATGTGAAGAAATGGTAATAGTTCTTCATGAGCGAGAAGCGACTCACGATTTTCAGTTGTGAGGTGATGCGTGGAGGACGCCCAGTCGACATCCTTATACACAATATCGGCAACCAGGTGAACACTTGCTGCAGTTCCACCGCATGAAACTCTGCAGGCAACCAGGTGAATCGCCACTGTGGCACCGCATAAAGCTCTGCAACGTTGTCGATATCCACCCTATCTTGAGCATAAACAGCAGTAAATACGAGCGGAAAATTTAAGAAACATTTGGATCAAGTAATTTGCTTACTGGCAGGATAATTTTTGGGTCTACTCTAGTTAGGGGGGCATCATTACACAGTTCCTCGGCAAACTAGTGCGAGAACATTCCAGCTTTTCGCGCATGTCAAGTGACTGTCCACACCCCCACCCCTAGACTGGCTACCTCCCCTGCCTCGGAGTTACCCTAGCTTTCTGGAGAAACTGCATAAAGATGCCCCCCCCCCGCTAGCTGGAATACACCCAAACTTTCACTAATTTTCAAAACAAATAAGGCCAAGAGACAGCTTCACAAATCTCAAACAGAGTCAGCGAACAAATAATCCGCAACAAGCCAACCATTTCGCGCAAAAAGACGTAATATTACACACACGCAGGGCAGAAGTTCGTCCACGTTCGTTTTTTAGAAAATATATGAAGAAGTGAACTTTGCCGAATCGTGAACATACGGGTATTCTCAGAAAAGTCTGGCAACAATAATTCGGTCATTACAGGAATTCACGACCAGACAACAAGGAAAATATGCAGCAAGGCAAGCACGGACTGTGAAAATTGGACAGAAAAACAAAAACCAAAAACTATACACAGCCAGCACCTTCATTTGGCCTTCTATGTATAAACTTGACATCATATTATGGCCGCCACACGATTTATGGAGTTATTCAAAAGTACAGCCAGATGGCGGAGACGTTTAGTCAGGGTCACCCATGCCTTGCGCTGATTTCAAAACTTTTTGCGAACTCTTCCCCTTTCAAAGAAATCAGTATGACCCCCCCCCGCATTAGTTACTGTGTCTTTTTACATATTTTTAGGCTCATCATCGATGTATGGGCCGTCACGGAGAGGTGATGGACAATGGTAAGTCCGTGCGCTTTGTCTCGTTCAAGGGAGGGAATCGAGGCAAGATAAAATTTTACTCATGAAGCAGAAGCAATTTCCAAAAATTTGCGTAAAGCTAAGCATGATCGTAATTGCAGAGATTTTCAAGTTTTTCTGCGAACTCTCACACTCCTTTTCTTATAAATGGAACTGAACTTTGAGCAGGGCCAATTACGTCTACGATACCATAACCCTTTTTCAATTTAAAGGTATATCTTTCTTAAAAATGGGATACATTCAAACTCCAAAACTGTTCTCTTTCTAAGAGTTTTGAACTTGTGCAAATCCGATTCTTCCACAAAAAGCGTCCCGTTGACCCGTTTTTTTGCGCATGCGCAAGTTCTCATCACTCAACGTTCATTGCTTCCTTCATTATTTACTTTCTGCAATAACGATATATAGTAACAGGAAGATTAGCAGTTTAAAAAGTGCCGAATATTTTTACAAAAGTCACTCTCGCGAAAAATAGTCCCGTTGTTCCGGCTCTTCCCTCTAGGCCATACTCGACAACGTGAGTTTTCAACCTTAAATGTCTAAAAGTTTATTGAAAGTCAGCATATTAAGAAGCGATAAAAACCACTGAAGTCGCGATAGCACTCATTAGCATATGCTAATTATCTTGAAAGAAAAACCTTTCTACTGTCAGAGTTTTTTATTAGGACCCGTGGTCAATCCGCCGAATTCGCTGCAGTTCCTTCCACTTTGATTTGGTCTAAAAGCATGGGAGTTTCTCTGAAAGATTTTTCCGCCTGTACTCACTGGGATATGGTGTGTCTCAGTAGAAAATCTCGCTCTGGGATGCGCCATTCAACCGTCTATGGTGCGTATTCGCAGTGGCAGTTGAAAGTCTGTCCTCCCTAGCCATGCCCTGGCAGCTTCTATCATAGTTTTGTTAATGGTACTTGACGTTATGTCTCCCTCCTCTTCCATAGGCAAACACGACCCCCTCGTTGTTCACAGCGGAGCAGGCGGTTAACCTAGCTCTCACTACTATTTAGGTACATTCTCCTTGTTCAACCTCCGACCTTATGGTGAAATTCTTCTTTACCTCTCGACTGCGAGGGACACTTTTTTCGAAATGGGCTGGATTCTCTAGCAATTTCGCGACTGCTGAAGGTTGATCAGCATGACCAACAATACACAATAATGGCATTGCCGGATTTGTTTTGCTATGCTTATTCTAAGTTACGCAAGAATCAGACGTGTTTCACAGAGTCCACACCAGTGAACCCCCATATTGTGACCAACTGAGAAGGAGGGGCCCTAGGTGTGGGAATACTCGACGAACATGGGAGAGGAGCATTTCTCCTCCTGAGGTAAGCCACCACCGTTGCGCGATCATTAAGTCTCAAGGTTGAGTTTCGGTTTAGACTTAGGTTAAGGCCTATGATTAGACACTGGCTTATGCCTAAGCCTATGATTGGGCCCAGGCTTAGTCCTAAGCTTGCCTCGAGCGTACGAACGGCGTCTGAGTTTTAGGTGACCTGACCCCAGGAGGAGAAACGCTGCGCACCGCCCATTTAGGCTAGCTCCGTTGAGGAGGAAGCAGGGTTAACCGTTAAATGGTAACTATGAGGTTATCCAGAAAGTAATGCGGCTTTTTGACCTCCGTCTTTAAAGCAACGTATCTCAGCTCAATGTCTAAATTTTTTATTATTTAAAGAAGTATTGGAAAACACGCAACTTCTTCGATAAGAATTATCGTGAACTGGCACGCGAACTCTAAATGTAGAAAACATGAAAGCTGAGGCATCGTCGGTCTATTCTACCATGTCTCAGAATCTTTTCCTGCCCATGGAGCTGTCGAGATCACTGACAAAGTTTAATTTGATGAGAGAGAGCTTTTGTGAGTGCAACAAAGCTGCACCGTGCGTTTCTTACGAGGATGTTGTGCGACATTGAGCTGAGTATGAGATGAAGAAAGGAGAATGATGCTTCTCCTTCTATTGGAAAATCCAAATCTACCCCTGTTTAACTGACTATAACTTTCGTCAGTTAAATCGTTTCACAAAAGGAGATGAATGCTCAATACACGATACATCCAGCTTCAAAATTGCGCCGAGCTTTTTTCAAACACATTGACCCCCCCCCCCGTTGAGGATCTCTTGAGCGAGTTGAAATTAGCATGTGAATGTTCTTCTTTTGGACGACAATCACTTGCTTTAATGACAATCTTTTGAAAAGGAAGACCAATGCAAAGGAGATCATTTACTCTTTCTGATGGGGGCTGCAGTCCTTTCAAAAAGTCTGTGGCTTCCGAGAAATTCACGTCGAGTATCTATCGAGGACGGCTTCCGAGCCAATCGAAAACCCTAATCCTCCTTCGCCGATGCAAGAAATCTCTTTGTGAACCCTCGAACTGGAAAACTCCACATTGGCTTTTCACCAGTGGACCGTAAACTAAGCCAGCAAGCAAAAGTGGCGTTCCAGATGTTTGGGCTTGATCAGATTTTTTCCACTTTTTCGTGTCCTTCCTTCTGACGTGAAGCAGTGAGCATGCTACGGTCAATTTTACCTTGGTAGCTTTTACCTTGCTTCCTTTGTTTCTGAACTAAAAAAAATAATGAATTTAAGGCCCTGCGTGAGTTTCATTTCAAACTTATGATTTGTCCTCCGGGTGAGTTGCTGTGGTCGTGTCTCGATCCCAGTCCTCTGAGCGAGCAAAGCGCGCTGCATGTCAAATCGCAAGTAACTTCCACTGCCCACCCCCTCTTTCCATGTCAATGAAGTCGAACACATAAAGATGTGTGAGAAACATGAGGGAGGGGAGGTTTGGACTGATGCCGCCTGAAATGGAAACCGAAGTTTTAAAATCGGCTCAATGGACGGTTGACCTCGCTTTCGA